CAGGTAGACGTCGGTCCAATACGTCTTTCACGAAGCTATCATTGATCGGTGAAGACGACAGAATGGAAACGAGTATTTCTCCATATTCTCCTATCAGCAACTCCAGCGTCACCACTCCGAAACTGTACGCGTCGCATTGGGTGGTCACTTTCATTGTATATGCAAGCTCTACAGACAAGAAGAGCCAATGATCAAACCGCCAATCCATAGAGATCTCCGAAATATAATTTGAATATGTTCTCAATTGCAGATATTCTTAATTTGCACAAACAACGAGGTCTGAGAGAGAGAAACTTACCTGGTGCCAAGTAACCCCGTGTGCCTGTAAGCATGGTCCAATTTGATGAATCCGGATTCAGTAGTCGAGCAATTCCAAAGTCGGAAACACAAGCCTTGAATTCGGAATCAAGTAGGATGTTGTTGCTGGTAACATCTCGATGAACGATAGGCGGAACACAATCGTGATGCATGTAGAACAGAGCACGAGCAACATCTTTCACGATGTTCACTCTCATCCCCCAGTCCAATTCAGCTGCAGATTCGCTTCTGAGGACAGATCCCAGACTTCCTTTCTCCATGTACTCGTACACTAGAAATTTGTGTCGAGGAGAGGAGCAGAACCCGTAAAGCTTGACGATATTTCGATGTCGAATTTGAGTAAGAGTTTGTATCTCATTTTGAAAGGGTTGCTCGTCGAATGTTCCTTCAGTGTCTGGTAGGTGAATCTTCTTCACCGCTAGTAGCTCCCCACTTGCTAACTCTGCTCTGTAGACTCTGCTATATGCACCACTTCCGATACAGTATTTGGCATCGAAATCTTCGGTGGCTTCGATGATGTCCTTGCATACGTCTCTTCCATCAAAATTCAATATAGAGAATGCACCTTCTTTGACGTGATTATCATCGACAGGTACTGGCGGCTTCGTTCTCTTGTGGAATCGTAAAGCAGCTGCAATGAATATAATCAAGAGAAGGAAGAAGACGACGGAAGCAATGATGGCTATTACAACCACTTTGTGGCGCTTGCTTCGGTCATCTTTTGTTGGAGTACCGAGCGAAACACACGGAGGCAATCCTCGGACAACTCCACACAGATCATTGTTATGGGCAAACCACTCTGCCGGGGCTCTTCGGAAAGCTGGGCTATCAGGAACAGGGCCGTCCAGTTCATTGTAGGATACATCAACGGTAGACAAGCTCGTCATATACGTTAGCGAAGATGGAAGATGACCCGAGAAGGAATTATGCGATAGATTCAGGCTTTGCAGCATCACCAACTTGCCGAGTTGGGATGGAATCTCCCCTGTTAGTGAGTTCTGGCTGATGTCAAAGGTGTCTTGGAGGTACACCAGATTACCAATGGCCAAAGGAATGGTTCCACTAAAGTTGTTGTTGTTAAGCTTCAACGATCGGTGTTTCATGCAGTCGCCTAATTGATCTGGGATTCTTCCTGCCAAGTTGTTGGATGAGAGATCAAGCAGTTCAAGATTGGACAGCATTCCAAACTCCGGAGGCACA